AGAGCGTAGTGGTTAAAAGCGACATACTCTAATCTGGGAGAACCGGGTTTGATTCCCCACTCCTCCACATGCAGCTGCTGGGTGATCTTGGGTCAGTCAAAGTTCTCTGAGAGCTGTTCTTTCAAGAGCAGCTCTCTCAGAGCTCTCTCAGCTCCACCTGCCTCACAGGGTGTCTGTTCTGGGGAGAGGAAGGGAAGGAGATTTTAAACTGCTCTGAGACTCCAAGTGGAGAGCGGGGTATAAATCGAATCTCTTCTTCTTCTAACTTGTGAGGAGCCTTGGTGCCCTTTATGGAAGCAGAAAGGAAGGATTTAAATTTTGTAAAATAAATAAATTAAAACAAATATTAGTTCTAATATACATACCCAGTTCCACAATGGCTCGCTGACCTGCAACCCAGCCTGAGGAACCAATGTTTTTGGTTCCAGCCCGAGAGTCACTAAGGATTCCAGATTGCTTTCGGTGGGATGTTTTGCTTTTTGACCAGGAGCCCCTGACTCCACTAATAGTACATTCAAACACTTGTGTATGAAACATGTTTCTTCTGTCATTCCTCAATAACTCATCTTTCCATCCACTGGACTTATTTCCTCCTCCAGTTTCTGAAATTCTGTCACTTTTTATCTCCCCTTTCCTTTTGAGATCTTGGAGTGGTCTACATGTTTCCCCCCCTCCAATATTCACAACAACCTTGTGAGGTAGATTAGTCCAAGAGGGAGAGACTAGCTGAAGGTCACCCACTGAGCTTCATGACTGAGTGGAGATCTGAACCCAAGTCTCTCCAGTTTAAGTTCAGCATTCTAGCCACTGAACCAGGCTGGCCCTCCCAGGCATCCGGGGGGGGGGGGGGGCATCTTTTGCTAGTCATTGGTGGCTTGCACACTTGTGTAAACTGCCTCCGTCCTGAAGCTTAAAATTAATTTTCAAAGATGTTTAAGAGTGAGGGGGTGTCATAAAAAATTCTCTCAGCCCCACTGTAGGGAACTGGAGTGTTTACAGCAGCCAACAGACCAGGATTACCCTTTGTTAGCCATCCATTTAGTGAATTTACAGGTTACATTAAATTTAATGTGTCATTATTACCTGTTTGGTATAATAAATATCTTAGCCATGACAGTGTGTGGATAGATCATCCCGAGTTAGCACTCTTGGTGAGCTGAGTTGCAACCCAAGGTATGCGGATTAATTGGGAAAATTGCAAATCAGGTAGTTGGCGAAATAATTCATTGTCACATCCAATCAATAAACTTTGTAAATCAACTCATTTAATTCCACACAAAAAAATGATCTTTATAGATCAAGCAACCAATTAAACAATTAGCATGTGCTTTGCTATTAATTAATCTAAGCATCACTCATGCAATTAAAACTTCCACATTTAAACCGCCGAGTTTAGAAAATCTAGCTCCTTGTGATCGGTTAGGCAGCTCTCCGCCATCGTCACACTGGAAGGAGGCAAAATGCCAGCACCAAGGCAAAGAGAATCAAGTAAGTCCAGTTGGATGGACTGAAGTGGATCTTTTTTAATTGTCATCTTAAGAGAACAAATGAGAAAAGTTACAAGACCACCAAGGTTCAAATCTCCCTTCTGCCATAGAACTTAGCTGGGTAACCATGGGACAGTCACCCTCTCTTAGCCTAACCTGCCTCACAGCATGGAAGTTGTAAGAGTAGAATGGAGGCAGAGGGAACAATGTTGCTTTGGGTCCCTGTTGGCAAGAAAGGGAGGGTAAAAATATATAGAATGGGAGGGACTTGGCTTGACAGCAGCACATGTGGAAGGGATCTAGGTGTCCTGGTTGATCACAAGCTAAACATGAGCCTGCAGTGTGATGTGACTGCGAAGAAAGATAATGCAATCTTAGGATGCATTAACAGAAGCATTGTGTCCAGATCACTGGGGGTGGTAGTTCCGCTCTATTCTGCTATGGTCAGGCCTCACCTGGAGTATTGTGTCCAGTTTGGGGCACCACATTTTAGGAAGGATGTTGACAAGCTCGTGCATGTCCAGAAGAGGGCAACCAGGATGATGAGAGGCTTGGAATCCAAGTCTTACGGGGAAAGGCTGAAAGAGTTGGGTATGTTTAGCCTGGGAAAGAGAAGGCTTAGAGGGGACATGATTGCAGTCTTCAAATATTTGAAGGGCTGTCATGTAGAAGATGGAGCAGATCTATTCTCTCTTGCTCCGGATTGCAAGACTAGATCGAATGGGTGGAAATGACGTCGATACCAGCTAAATATCAGGAGAAACGTCCTAACTGTAAGAGTGGTTGAGCAGTGGAACAGACTGCCTCGGGAGGTGGTGGATGCTCCTTCACTGGACGTTTTCAAGTGGAGGCTGGACGACCATCTTTCGGGTATGTTGTAGGGCTATCTTTCGGCTATGCTCCTGCAGAGTGCAGGGGGTTGGACTAGATGACCTGCAAGGTCCCTTCCAACTCTAACATTCTATGATTCTATGATATAGGTGAACACCACATTGGGGGGCCATGAGCAGAGGATGAACTATTGGGAAACTCTCTCTTCTTCCCTCACCATAAGTGCTGTAGGTTGTGACTGCTGAGTTTGTTAGACAAGTAGCTTCCTTCTCACCTCATCCTCAGCCATCTATCCCAGAGTTACCATTTCTCGCTGGCTGCTAACTTCCCAAGTTAGGTGAGCAAACAGTGGCTCATCTAGCCCTGAGCCTAAGGAACAGCCTAGGGAAGAAGTTGCAGGTAGCTGTGTTGGTCCAAAGCGAAATCCCAAAGCAAAAGACACATCATACTTTTTTTTTATTTAGACCAGACTAAAAGTACAGCAATCAGTGTGCATGTTCTCAAGTTCTCCAAGATTATTACACTGCTTTTGTTGTTGTGGAAAGTGTGCTTTTTACACACACACACCTCAATAGTGTATTGGGAGAGAAGGGGGTACAAGTATGTGAACTGTATGTATGTCTTGCCATTTCTCTTGTTGGTTTTACCTCACCCCACCCCAGTTGTGTGGACACCACGTATCAGCAAAGCAATTCTGCTGGTGGTGGTGGTGGAGGAGGAGAAGTGCCATCAAGTCGCAGCCGACTTATGGCAACCTATAGGGTTTTCAAGGCAAGAGACAAACAGAGATGGTTTGACATTGCCCATCTCTGCATAGCAACCCTAGACTTCCTTGGTGGTCCATCTAAGTACTAACCAGGGCTTAGTGGTCTCCCATCCAAGTACTAACCAGGGCTTGGTGCTCTCTTGTCCAAGTACTAACCAGGGCTTCTGAGATCCAATGAGGTCAGGCTAGCTGGGGCCATCCAAGTCAGGGAATTCCCTTGCCCATGACTAAACAGCCTCTTTTTGCTGCACAGATTTCATTGCTGTAACTGAAACTAAGAAGAAGAAAAATGCAACACTGGCCCTTGGGCTTCCCTCCAGGAATTGAATGCTGTTGGCACAGGGAGGGGCTTTGGCCCCATAGCAGAGTTCATGCTTCACACACAGAAAGTGCCAGGTTCAGTCCCTGCCATGTCTGCTGCCAGTGAGAGTAGATAATCCTGGACTGGGCTGGCAAGGGTTTTAATTTGTTATGAGGCAGTTTCATCTGTTGACCTTTTTGGTTTGTTTCAGTGACAATGTCAATGCTTACTGTCTCCACATTGCCGAGGACGATGGTGAAGTGGACACGGATTTTCCACCCTTGGATTGCAACGAACCTATTCACAAGTTCGGCTTCAGCACGCTGGCACTGGTCGAGAAATACTCATCACCCGGCTTGGCTGCCAAACAGTCGCTCTTTGTCCGAATGTAAGTTCCCATTTTCTGCTTTACCTGCACCCCCGGGCCACAGTCTGTTTTCCCCTCTGCCCAGGTGCTTCCTTTCTTAACTATTGGCAAGGAAGTGAGCAACAGAGAGAGAGAGAGAGAGAGTGGGTGGAGCTTTATTCCTCGGGTGTAGCAACCCTGTCCCTGTCCATTCCCTTGTTACTCCCCATCTGCCTTGCTGCTATGTTCCTTCAAAAGAAGTGATCTTGGAGAAAGAAGTTGGGAGGAATAACAGTGGTGGATGATTCAGTGCTGTTTATAGGGTCACCCATCCAGAAGGGACCTCCACCCCAGACCAGACCAGTGGTTCAGGGATTTGCCCCCAGCCTGTCTGAAATCTATATGAAGAAAAGCACAAGCAGCCCCGACCTGGCTAGCCCAGGCAAGTCCGATCTGGCCAGATCTTGGAAGCTAAACAGGGTCAACTCTGGCAAGTACTTGGATGGAAGACCTCCTTGGAATACCAGAGGCGGGAGGCGGGGGCAGGCTTTATTCAGCCACATCTCTGAATATCTTCCAGTCCCCCGGTAGGGGTCGCCAGAAGTCAACCATGACTTCCTGGCAAGCACACACAAAACACACACACACACAATTTTTTTAAAGAAAAGAAAAGCAGGAGCCTTCAATCTGCATAAGTTATGGGGAGTGCTGTATGTGTGTGTTTTCTTATCTGTCTGTCATGTTTTCATCCCGCCCTTCTTCCAAAGTGCAAATTATGCAAATATGAATGTAATGGCTTATTGTGCATAAGTGCTTTTTCCATCCCTGAGCTGTGGGGGAGGTTCAGGGAGCTGTGCCGGACACTGATGCTTGCTTGCTTGCATCATCCCATCCCTCTCCTTCCCATCTCTGCCACCAGAATTCTAGCTCAGACTCACCTCTAGCTTCTGAGGCTTTTACAAGGCCCTGCTTCATGTGATTTCAAGCTTGCCTCTACAGACATAAGGACTAGAAACTTTATAAAAAATGGTATCCTTGGGATGGCGACTTCTGTGCTACGTCTCTCTGATTGCTGATATGCAGGCTTTATGCAGACCCGGCTGTGGTGTATCACAAGCAGGGAAATGGGCACAAGGGTGATTTGGCAAAATGAGTCAGATGAAGGGATACGGTTCTGACAATTGAAAAATTATTTATTTGTTGTTCAATTGGCACCAAAGTCATTCCTCCGGTCTACTTTGCATGCATGTGCAAGAAAAGTATTGTTAGGAATCCTGGGACCTGGAGCCTCAGGTGGACTTTACCCTTCTTATGGCATAAGGCTACAGGGTGAGTTGGCCCACCCCCACAATGTAAGTTGAACAACGCTGAGCCATGGTTCTTTAAAAGTCAGAGGTCTGGTTTAAGAATCTGCTTCTAGCTAGGCTTGTTCTGAAGAGCCCGATCACATCACAGCATCAGAAGCAAAGTTTGTGTTGGCACGGGTTTAAATCTTGCAAGGCTTCAGCAGTGGAAAACCCATCTGTGAATAACATATGAAATGGGGTATGTGTGTGTCAAAATGTCCTTTCCATTCTGTGGCAATTACAAACATTTTCACTGTCCTGGTGAATTCTGGCCATGGGAATGGAACAAACACATAACTCAGCATTTGTAAATCCGACTTGATTTTCATCTTGGCAAGGGCTCTGTCTGGGGAGAAGCAAAGATTTTCCATGTGTCTTTGATGAAATGGCAGAAATAAGAAATAAATGGATGGCTCCCTTATCTACCTGACACCTAGTTGAAGGGGGGGTTGTTTTTTTAAGATCCAGCTAAATCTGGGAGCTGAAAATTTGGCCCCCGGGCAAGTTGTGTGGCCATACTAAACTTACTGGCATGCACTTTTAAGGCAGAGCAGTGTTGCACATATGCCCTTCATGGCCAGAATTAACTTTTCTCTAGCTAGGGATACAGTGTGATGATGACCTTTGACAAAGTAGTCTTTTCCTCCAGTCAAAATGGTGCAAGCGAACCGCTCTCTTTTCTGCTGACTCAGCAAGGTACAAACAAATGCTCTCTACCAATAGCCCCACACGACATGAACTTTTCCAGGGATCTGCTGTAGTAAATTAGATTGCTCAGTGATTGTTTATTCACAGTCTTTTTGTACCTGTTCTTTGCTGCTAGCAATCTGCGAGTTGTTTTGAAGCCAATGCTACTTTTTTGAACTTTCCCCTTAACTTCTTCTTTATTTTCTGCACTTTATCTTCTGGTTCCATTTCGAGTGTTAGTATTAGGAGCAAGCCAGTCTCGTCTCTTTAACTAGGTGCATAAACCTCCTATATTATGCTGGCTGAAACACTGTAAAAATATTTATAGTAGTAGCACCAGTCCTCTTTTCTTCTTTTCTTCTGACTGGAAGCCTTCAATTTTAAATGTGGCTGGCAAAATGCTTTTTCTACTTTGAATAGTGGCAGCTCTTCAAGGTTTTTCTCAGCCCTGCTCCTGAGGTCCAAAGACTGAACTTGGAACTTGGGGTGTGGGTGTGTAAAATGCAGTTTGCACCATTTCTGCCAGCAGTTGCATGTGGGCAGATTCAGTGGTAGATCACATGCATTTCATGGGACAAGGTGCAGCATCTCCAACTAATTCAAATAGCAGGGCTGAGAAAGGCCTCTGCCTGAGACCTCAGAAAGCTATGCCCAGCCAGAGACAACAAAACAGCCTGCGGGATGGACCAGTGGTCTGACTCATTATAAGGTGACTTTAAACATTCAGACCTTAGTTAAGGAGCTGCAAACCATTGCTCCGTGTTGCACAGACTAACCCACGTTTATGTTAGATCTGCTCTCTGAGGTGACATAATTGGCCCAGCTAACAGTTATGGAGCTTTGTTGAGGGATCTTGATTTGGCAGGAGCGGTTTGCAGAACTTTGTGCAGCAAAGACTCCTGCCAAAGCAAACTCTCAGCCATTGGCGTTTGCTTATAAATACCCGGTGGCAGAGGTTGGGAGTAGCCCACAGCGAGTTTAATATTCTGAGCCGAGAGTAAATGTCTGTGTGGTTATGGAGAGTAGTAAATAATTGAGTTTGATTAGGGAGAGGCACCTCATTATCCCCCCACCTGTGCCCAGCTGGTAGGGGAGGGTCGAAATGAAGCCATTAGCTGTCTCTCTTACTGGCATCTCCAAGCGCTCAAATACATCTGTGTCTTATTTTCTTTTCTGGCACAATCAGTCGAGCAAGCTAAGCAGGCATGACCAAATTTGGCAAGTTCCAAGGACTCTGGCAAAGTTATACAAGGAGAAGACGGAGGGCAGCCATTCTGGCTTCAGAAATGGCCATTAGTCTAGCGAGCTGATAGCTTCTGGAATGGGACAGAAAGGAGTGACTTTGGTCCAGAGCTTCCCCAGCAAACTGCCTTGATTCTCGAGCAGGATTTTTTCCACACTAAGTCTAGCCTCGTGCTTGCCACCCTGTAAGGTGCTGACGAGAGGGGTTGCTGGGCTCCTCCCCAGCACTTCTTGGGGTGGCCCATTCTGCAAAGACATGCAAAGAGTTTTAGGGGTTTTGAAATACACCTTCCTGGTGGCTCCCAAGCTGAATATTCAAGGCTTCCATCCCGTCACTCCCTACCACCTAGATCAGAGGTGTCAAACATAAGGCTCGGGGGCCAGAGGTGGCCCGCCAGGGGCTCTTATGTGGCACGTGAGCAACTGGTGCAAGGGAAGGAACAGGAGACTGCTCCGGGGGGGGAGTAGGTGGAGCCACTCCGATTGTGGCTTCAGCATGGCTTGTCTGCAGCAGTCAGGCAGCATGGGAATGTCTGGCTCTCCAGTCCGCCCATATGGGTTTTCCTTTGCACACCCCCTCCCAACCCATGGGGCCTTGCAGTGGGAATACAGCAACTTGGAGCTTACCAGCTGCTGTCTTTTATACAATTTACGTCTCCAGTAGCTGGCATTATGTCAGATTCAGCCCTCGTAACAAATGAGTTCGACACCTCTGACCTAGATGTAGTGTTCCTAGTATATCATGAGCATAGTCCCTAACCAACATAAATGTGAAAAGAATGAGGGCAGAATTAAGAGTTAGCTAAAACAACGGTTGCCACTGCCACTGAAAATGTAGTGGCCCCTCCTCTCTTTGGTAAAGTGTAGCCAAAAAGTATGATGCAACATCATTGTATCTTCTTCCCCACATTGGCGGTAGTCACTGACAGAGAGTGGGATCAGGGGAATGCACAACTTGATGACACCGGTTTGCACATTAGGTACTAGCGTGATTCAGGGTTGCCGTTTTCAGCAGCAGCCCTGCATGTTTGCCTGTGTGTTAACATCTAAGTCATACTAAGCATGGATAACCCAACTTGTTTCCAGATTTTGAAAACTAACAGAATTAAAATTAAACTTTCAGAATAAATGAAATAAATAATCAAGGGGAAAATAGCGTCCAAACCACAGCAGTTGGGGACAAAAAAAAGGGCATCAAAAAGAATAAACAAGGTCAACCTTCATCAAGTGTATTTGAAGAAGGGTGCATGCACATGAAAGCTTATAGCCAGAATTAAACTTCGTTGGTCTTAAAGGTGCCACTGCATTCGAACTTTGTTCTGTTGCTTCAGACCAACACGGCTACCCACCTGAATCCATCTTCATCCATTGTGTTTATCTGGAAATGTGCTCCCTCCTGCCTAATAAAGCTGGAGGAATATTTGACATGGTTTTATTACAGATTAACACCTTCCATAATAATTATCAGAATTAGATTTTGTCACTAACGTGGATTAGAACCCTTCTTTGGCACCCAAGCATACATAAAAAAGTGACAGGGTGATCCTGGCTTTGGTCACTGTTCAACTGTTGTGAATATCAAGTTGAAATAAGTAATAACTGATCCACAGTTTCTAGGCTTGATCAGATCAGAATTCCATGTGGACTAGCAACCAGTGGAACATGTGTGGGAGAACATTCTGGAATCTCAAAAGTTCTGCCTTGTATAGAATTGCTGGATACCCCTACCCCACGTGAAGCCCCCTCAGTAGTCAGATTAACTTGAAT